AGGCTGAAAAACTGAAGAAAGGAGGACTACTTTATCAGTTTGCTTGTAGAAGAAATGTGAGAGATGGGGTGCAGGGAACCAAGTGGAGATGGGAGGAAGGAAGCATATGAGGAGGTTGATGGGGGTGTCTGGAATGGAACTAATAAAGCTGGAGAACCCAAGCTTCTTTGTCAGGGAGATGGACAAAGTGAAGGAGGAGAGAGGAATCACCAGGAAGTGAAAGGAGTCACCTTCTTTATAGAATTCCTACCAAAGACATTTTCATTTTTAAAGAAGGAGTCCCAGGCAGGAAGCTGATGTGACGGTGAAGGCAGGGTTGGGTGTTGACAGTAGATTTACCATTGTGAGAGGCAGGGCCTCATGCATCAAGGGTAGGGATGAGATAATCAGCAAAACAAACAATAGTAACAAAGAAACAAAGCAAGGAGAAGGTTTGAAAGCAGTCAAGAAGGAATCCATACTGCAGGTCACAGGTTAGCCAAGTACATAGCTGTTTCCCAACCTTTCCCTGTCTTTTTTTTTTTTTTTTTTGCAGATAAAGCCACTCACCCCCCTCCCCATTCCTAAACTCTATATCCTTTCATATCTAGTCTGCTTTGATTTTTGGATGCCTATTAAAATGCAAGGAAAGCCATAGCATCAGTCACATTTCTATACACATGTGCCCTAAATGACTCCTTGGGTCAGATCCTAAACTAATGTAAATTATCATTGCTTCAGTGAAGTCACTGAAGCTATAAATATATATATATTAGCTGAGGACTTGTATCTTTGTGCTTCTGTATTTATAACTCACAGAGAAAAATTTCTATAAGTAGAATAGTGTCTAGTCTTCTGGTTTCTATTCAATATCTTTCCTTTTGCTTTCTACAGGAAGATATTATTGCTTTTATTCTACACTTTTTCCTTTCTCTTTGCCCATCTGTTGATTTCATCAGCTTCGATGTTTCTCACTACAAACTTTCTAGCAAGTCTTTTCTCCCATATACACATCCATGCTAATAGGATCTTTTTTGTGCATCTCAGTTTAATGGTCCTTCTATACACCACAAGCTTCCAGAAATGAAAAATGAGAAACCCATTTATGCCTCTCATCCTGTCCCGATACACACCAGTGACAGTGGCAACTGTGACTGCAAGCAGGGGCTGAAACTTAGCATCCCTGTGGGTACTTAGTAATAGAAAATATGTCCCTATTTTGAGCCATATGTCCTCTCTGTGTTACAGTTGTAACCACAGTCATATGCCTGACAAGCCCCTTAACACCAGCAAAGGAAGAAAATACTCGAGCTGAATTTCTTATAACACATGTTACAGACAAATACTATTACTATTATCCTATTCAAGTTCAACTAAAAAAATATGCGTCTCACCAACTAATATTTCAAAGCAACGGGATTCTCTGATTGTATAAGCACATGTGCTTTTACTAAAGCAAAACATTACAAAAGAGACACTTCTGATAACAGTGACATGTAAGATGAATGTAAAACAGAATAGTCAAAAATGCATTTGATGGATGAGGTCAAGGATGGACGCCTCTGTAGCAACTCAGCTAAGGAGCCTTGTTTTATTCATCGCATGTCACTGCTGCCAGGAATGTATCAGTCGTAAGGCACTTTTAGTGACCTTTCAGCCACAGCCAGGGTAAAATGCCTGCAGAAAGGGCAGTATTTTGCATGCTTTAAGAAACCAGCTGAGAGTCCACAGGGAGCTTTTAGCACAGTTTGGACACTGCAGGCTTTGCAGTGCTAAGAAACTGACACTATCAAGAAAATTCGCTACAAAGAAATAACTGAAATCCTTTTGTGTTGGAGTTCACTTTCTATTACCTACCTTGAAAAGTTTGTTGTTGTGTGTAAGAAGCCATTGTATGCCTACAACAAGGTCACAGTAGTGCTCTCTGCCCTACCATCATTTGGTTACACACATGGGAATTTCCACTGTCTGTTGAACATGGAAATGTCTCTACAAGCTTGCCTTGTTTGTCACTTGACAATCTGGCTTGTTAACACTCTGTGTTTACTCTGTGCAACGGGGCAAAGACAGCGTGCATGCAGAGATATTTGGCATGCATCTTTCTCTCATGCCCACACAAACTCATTTTACTCAAAGAAATCTTTTTCTTAACATGTTGGTTTAGCTACAAAACCCTAAAATCACCCTTAAGACCTGTTGCCCTACAACTGCAAAACAGAGTATCTATGCTTTTTAGTAGTGCTTTACCAGTTGCTAAAAGGGTCTTGGGAAGTACACAAGAAATGCAAAGCTGGACAAATGCATATAAGCAACACCTGTAAACTGATATGGGTTGACACCTGTGAGACACTCAGTCCAACACAGGTATTTTCTGACTTGTGTTGTCAGAGGTCCGAAGTGAGAATAAAAGCCAGACTGGTCAAGAGAATAACAAACCATAGATGCAGCAAAGACATGTCCAACACCAATAAGAGGGGGTTTATTTCATCCCAGCCTAATACTTCACTCAACAATATTCCTATAGTGAATCTTCATTTTGTGCCTATAAACTTAGTATGCTTCCAAAGACATGATCACATTGTAATAAAGTTATTCTGATAGTTACAGACAGTGAGTAAGTAGGAAGCAACAAATGACATTTATCTTGATTTTAGTAAGATTCTGACCCTATGAAAGGTTTGTAAGCAGGCCAGGGAAGCACTGTCCAAATACAGTCATCATAGGTTGTGTGAAGAATTGTTTAAAACTCTATTTGAAATTTAGTTATCAATGAGCTGGGATGACATTTCAGACAGGATCCTACTGAGACCTCAGCTAGGGAAATAATTCTCTTCATTATTTTTGTTAACAGCAATGATGATAGAAGAGAGAACATTTGTAAAAATTTCAGATGAAATCAGACTGGGAGAAGTATGAGCACTTGTGAAGATAGGATTAGAAGTCAAAACGATCTTGAGAAGTGGTTTGAAATCAAGAAGATGAAATTCAATACAGACAAGTGCAAAAGAACTCCTGTGGGGAAGAATCAATCAAGTGTCTTCAGATAAAATATGGACTACTTGGTTAGACTACAGTTAGTGTCAAAACATAAAAGTAAAGATCTGGTTATTAAGCATTTGTATGATGCTGTTGAAAAACTAAACAGAATAAAAAATGTTAAAAAGCCCAAAACAACAGAAAACCCACCATGTTATTCCAGGTAATGTACAGAAGACCTACATGGCAGTTGTTCCACTTAATCCCGCTTTGTGCACACCACTGTAAGAAAAACATAAGCAGACTGAAGAAGGCTCCTCAGGCTTGAAAATGTAGAGGCCATGAGAAAAATTTGGAAGAACTAGGTATGCTTAAATCTGGAAACGATGGATATAATGAAAATACTTATTGAAAATGCCTGAAAGTAGTCATAAAAAAAAAAAAAATGCTCATTTGTCTTCATATCCATAGGGAGAAAAGGCCAAAATGTAGAAAAGTAGGTAATTTGCAGGAAATTACATTTAAATTAGATATTAGGAAATTAGGCACAGGGAAAGGCAACACAGAGAGACTATAGAACCTCCTTCATTAGAGGTGTCAGGGATTAATTTAGTGAAACATCATTCTGGGATAGGAGTATATGTAATGCTGCCACAGAGCACAGAAATGGCTACATTGTTTCTGCAGGGGCCATTCTTGCCAGGGAAGAAGGTGAATGACAGGTTTAACATGTCTGTGGTTGTGATGGGGACATACTCTATTGGTCCAGTCTACTGTTTTGGTGGCTCTTTGCTTGCTAAATAAATGGTGGACAGAAGGGTACGAGAATTTGATTTTATAATATGTCTGGAATGCATGTGAATGCATTGATAAGTGTGGCACACATTGAGGGGTACCTTAGCATAAAATAATGTAATAAAGTAATGTAAGTTTTAAGACTCCAACCACCGTGAAAGTTCTGAAACCAAGGGTTATAAATTTATAATTTGTGACTTTTATATGAATTTTACTCATTTTAGATCCACAGGAAGCTATCCCCTTATCAAAGAACCTTTTCTCTTTTTTTGCTTTTAATGGATACAGAGCCAGTCTGTCATTAGCAGTGTCCAGACCTGTGAAAAATACACATCTATATCTGAACTCTTTTCTATAAAAGTAGAGTCAAATTCATATCTGCTATGTAAGAGACAATATTTCAGGGATGAGAGCTGCTCACAAATAACTCCCCAAAAGCCAATAGTTGGGTCTTCTGGTGCAAAGGAAACAAAGGGTGGACTTTTACCTGTGTAAAGAAAGTGTTATAGCAGAGAAACAGGGGTCTCAGGCTCAGATGAGATTGAATTGCCCTGGAAATTGTTTAAAATAAACATGAGAAGACCACTGGGAACTGGCAATGGTGTGAATTAATAAATAAATCCCACTCTACAACCTTCCTGCAGACCTCCAGTGCCTTGAGAGAAATGCTGGTTTCCTTAGATCTGTGAAGTCTCATCTCTGAAGCTCAGATAAATTGTTCCAACCCTCTGTTCATGCATTTCAACCCAAATGTCAAAGCAGGGAATCAGAGAAACTGCTGTCTCTCAGACAGAGTCACATCAATGTGCTTTCTCCTCTACATCACTGAACCACAGTATGACAGCAAGCCAGACACAGTAATCACAGTCAGAAGCAATGCATTCATGCCAATAAATAAATGGTTTTCAGCATTTGCAATATCTGAATAGCATGTTGGTTTGTATCCAATGAGGTGGTCTACTTGAAAAGAGGGATGTGCAGCTACTTCTGATAGACAGATGGCTGTTATAAATCACTCATTGCCTTTTTGTGATTTTAAAATTAATTTCATTTTAAAGTTAAAAAAGGGTCTTTGCCTTTCTCTATTTTTTTTTTTACCCTTTTTCTTCATCTCCACAATTAGATGATCTAATTTTAACAAATTATTAGAGGGCCGTCAAAAATAATCTGTGTGCTGGGTGATTCTTGAATGATAGTGCCTATTACTTCTGAAAAGGTGTTGCTAATGAAAGCAATTTTCCTCCTTTCAGTTGATTTCATAGGTGGATTTGACTCTTACGGCTATCAAGGTCCACAGAAGACATCTCATTTACAGCTACAGCCCATGTATATGTAAGTACTTAACTTCCGAGATATTCTGCAGAGTGACAGGCTGATATTAAAGGATCATTAAGCTGAAAGATGACGTGACTTAAAAATTCAGAATAGGCAGAAGCATTTTTTTGATAGACCAAATTCAAGCTACACTTAAGCACCAACATTACTCTCCTGTTGAATTATAATGATTTCTTATGGCAGGATATAATGTGTCACAGTTGTTTAAATAACACACATCTCTCACCTGATTTTTTCCCCCCATTTTCATTCAAGCAAGTTCTACTCAGAGGCAATGAGAATTCGGTGTAGTAAAAACTAGTCAGATCTGACAAAATTTGGTTGCAAAAAAAGTGGGTTTTATTAAGATTTATCAAAAGTTCAGAAACTTGCTAATTTAGTGGCTGCATTTAGCATTTGCCTTACGGGTGCATCTGTTCACTGAAGCACCTCTGTACCTCATTTCCAGTCTCCACATATTAAAAAAGAAACCAAAACCAAAAAACCAAACCAAATATAACAACACATGGCTTTTAAATCCAGTTTGAATAGAAGACAGTGTTTTACCTAGCCAGTGAGTGACAACTCCATTCACTGCCTAGAAGTGCAATCTGATATATTTGGGGATTAAATGAGTGATAAAATCTCAGCACATGCAACTGGAGTACATTCACACTAGAGCTAACATCCAACCATAGAGCAGTCCAGGAATAATCATCTTCACATATTTCTTGTACTGATGCCAACTGCAATACAGAACAGCCCTGACTGCCCAGATAAATCTTAACCTCACTGCTGCAGCCTTTTGAAATGTTTTATTTACCATCACTAGCCTACACAGTAAAAGCACAAAACGCAACAGCTCACACAGGGGCATCATTTACGTTTTTCCTTTGTTTCTCTTCTGAACATCTCTTTTGAGGAAAAGAACTAAATGCAGGCAAACAATATCCATCCCAACATACACTTCCATTTACCCTTGAATCTAATTTCATTTCTTCTGATTAGTGGAAGAAAGTCTGATAATGGATTAGTGGATTTTTGCATGGAACTGGCATTTACTCCTTTATCAGTGGTACAATCAATTCTGCAGTGGTGTTTAGGATTGGGCCTTTTGGGAGCTTTGCTAGGAGCATTTTAATAATCTCAAATTACAATGGTGCGTATCTCCAATGCCATCTTAACTTCAGCTTCCCATCTGTCTGTGCTCAAGTAAAGATTTTTCACCTGCACTTTTGGCACAATGCTGTGCTTTTAGAAAATGTTCTTTCCTTCCTAGTATTATGTGTGGCTCATAGGTACTTAGAACAATTCTAATCCTATTTCTTTCTCAGTATACCATACCTTGTCATCAACATATGGAGCCCTCCAGCTGAGATATTATCCCATTCTCTTTATGCTCTCAGTGTTGCTTCCAGAACAGCAGATTGCATTTACTGAGCATCTTCATGCTGACTGTAAAGAAAGCTAGACCTGTGCAAAAAAAAAAAAAAAAAAGAAGGCAATATTTTTAAGCTTGTAGCTGAGATGAAGAGATATATGATTAATCCATGTAAACTGTTTTACGCCTTATTTCAGTGCTGCATTTTCACTGGAGTATAGGTGATTTCGCTGTCTTAACCGAGAGACAGAAATCAGTATGTGAGCTGATGTTTTGTCCAATCAACCCACAAAAGTATTGCCATGTTGCAGCCACAGTCAAAGACACTTCATGTTTCCCTCTGACTGTATAGCATTTGACAAGAATTTCCAGTCTGTCCTTAAGAGGCTTTTGCAGCATTTAGTAATACCTTTCTGTTATTTACAGCTGAGGTATACCAGCAACACATGCATATGTATTCATACTGCAGTTGCTCCGTAAATGTAGGCAGACCATTAGGTAGTGGAGTGACAAATTCGAATGTCAAATTAATCAAGCTGTGGTTTGATCTGCTTGTAGCACTATTTACAGCAATATTACTTACTGGAAATCAAAACACACTGATATGATAACAGCAGGCCATACTTGATGTTTTAATGCTTTATTTGTTGTGAGGAAGGGTTTGGTTCCCTAGGGAACTTGTTCACCAAAGAACATCAGTGTTCTGATGTTCTGATGTTTTCTCCATTATGCAAGGAGAAAACAACAATACAGGACTTTACATCACTCTCTGGCCAATGTCACCTTCACTTTAGAATGCTCAGCATCTCTAGGGGAGGAGTAAAAGTTAAGAATTATTTAACATAGAAAGGCATAGGATAGGATAGGATAGGATAGGATAGGATGGATAGGATAGGATAGGATAGGATAGGATAGGATAGGATAGGATAGGATAGGATAGGATAGGATAGGATAGACCTGTCCTGACCTGACTTGACCTGCTTGATGGAGTCCATTGCCATACTCTCACCACTGTCCAAGGTATAATCATACCCATCCAGGATACAACTGTACCATACATATTCATAGGGCTGTATTCATACAAATATTTCCACAACTTTATCAGTTGCTACAAAATGTCTTTGAATCCATAAGCAGTGGAGGTTATATTAAGTATTAGCCTGTCTAATTCCTTCAAAAGATGAAGAAAATATAGTTTGTTGCCACCTCTGTGTCCTATACTATTCAGGCTCACACTGAGTGCAACTCATGTGGAGCTCTGGGTTTATGAGTAGGACATAGGTGCCTTTAAATCATCCAGTTACTAGCTATTTCCAAAGACACAATAACACCTCTTTTTGTTGTCTATGGGGTGGTAGTACCTATAGGTGTGTGAGGCATGCTACAAGAGTGAAGGAGAACATACGGCCTCAGCTTTGAAGAGCTTACGAAACCAAAATCATCTTCTAATGGTTGTACAGAATATCAAAATGCAAATTTCAACATGCATCTCAGTAATAAGCTCAGAGAGCTCCCCATATATTTACCAGATACAGGAACGGTACAAATCTTAAAGACATAGAGATGTGCGGTAGGTCTCAGTCATCACCCACGTACTGTTTGCTGAAGTGAATTGATTTAGTGGATTGCAATGACAGAATTCCATCAACACAAACTTTTATTTCAATTCAAGCCGGACAGATTTACATCCAAGTGATTTAAATCGATTTTAACTGTTTTGTACATACACAGTTTAATTATCATCCTGAAGGAATGCTGTGTTTAGTAATTGCTAACTGTTAAGACACACTGTTTTGTAACCAGTTTCCTCCTGTGTGCTAAAGTTAGCACTTCATTTTGTTAATTTGGAGGTTATACTGAACCTACACAAACTTACACATGCAATTAAATAATTACATTGATTTATCTAGGCTTCTCATTTTTACATTTTTAATGTGTCAGGAGTTTTTTTGTCTAAAGTATTGTTACTTTTTATTTGTGATATCAGTTAAGCTCTACTTTTAAGAACAGTTTAGTTTAAACACATACACAGTACATTTGTGGGGGATTTAATCAGTTGAATGAACAGGATACTTAAGGAAAAAAATCATTTATGAAAAAGAAGTGTTATCTGTAGATAGTGTATTAGGGTGACTATCTCTGGCTACTGTTTCCTTAAATAATCTAGAATTATTAGATTCAGGTTCACTTTGTTTCTTTTCTCTGTATTTTAGGCTTTGAATTCCAATCACAACTCTCCTTATCATCTCTCCCAATTTCACAATTAATTTAAATCAGCTTCCTTTTTAAAAAGAAAAATATATTCAATTTAAAATTGTTTTAAAATAAAACACTGGTGTTTGGAGGAAGAATTCTCATCATGATGTTTATCTACCTGTCGTAAATGGCTTTTTATTATTATTTGTCAACAGCATGCTCTATGTTGTACAAGCCAATAAACCTAGTCAGCCCCTTCAAAACGAATACATTTTGTAAATGAATGGGACAGCACCAGTGCTCATGCACCCCCTTGCAGTGTGGCCACAGCTGATGTACTAAAAAGCAGCTTCCTGGCATTCTGTGCAGGAGATGCCAGTGCTCATTTCCAGATCATGGGACAAGAACACAATAAGATGGTGGAAAACAATTGTCAAGAAAAACTTCTGCTCTTGGGAGGTGACCGAGGAAGGTGACTAAACACTCCATGGAACTGATTCTGCTGCACATGAAAAAACACGGTTATAGCTGTGGAACACCACTGCACTGCATCATGACTGCTCTAAAAACAGTAGGAAGGAAGGAGGGGAGAGATAATTTTCTTTACATTTTTCACAGTAATCTTGTTTGCTCAAGAAAAGAGGTGGTGAAGCAAAAAAAAAAAAAAAGCATGCCTGTCTGATGCTGATGCCTAATGCACTGGAGAAATTGCTCAAAAGCGGTTCAGCCCTGAAGTGAAGCCTGCTTTCTTCATATTCTGTGAAGTCTGAGCATCTTTGCATTATATAAAAACACACACACATATACTATATACACAGAGAAACACACACCCTATATGCACACAGACCCCTTTATATATATGTGTGTTTATGTGTATATATATGCCCACTTCTGTGTATTTTGCTACACAAGACTATCAGTAGGCATTGCTTTACACTAGAAGACACTTAACGATAGTTTCTGGCTAATGGGATCCTACTTTTCACCAAGTGTTAGAGGGATTGCGAGGCAATAACTCAGGGTCAGAGGGGTGTAGGAGGGGTTAATGCACGTCCCTTAGTACCTAGTCCCATCAATTCTGTGTGTGTGTTTACATGTGCATTATACTGGTCATGGTCTCCTAGTCTAAGGCTGTAGGTATTTGTCTAGATAATTGCACATACTGAAAGTACTGCCTACTTTAACATTCATTTGATGTATAAATGAAACTTAAGCAAGACACAAAAAACAGCACCTAGAGTATAACCACCATCACACTCACCAAGTTTATGCAGTACAAATCTGCTCAGTTACTATCTCCTTAAGATTCATGTTTGTGGGATTCAGACATTAAGAGACAACATTTTTTTTTTTTAAATAAGCTACCAGCTAAGACTTGTCTAGCAACAAACAACACCTTGTCCACTTCAGACTGAAAGCTGGAGTTAGAAAACACAGGTTTGGGACAGCACCGCAGGTGTAAAGGACAGTGGCACTCACACATGCACTCTGCTTTGTGAGAGAACCTTGGGAGACTTTCCAAGGTATCTGCAATTCAGCCTGTCTGTCCTGCATACTGCATCCCTTCTTGGTTTTACAAAGACAGCTACATTTCAGACAGATTATTATAGTTCAGGTCACCTTCCAGTTGACACATGGATTCTAATTAAATATCACTCTTGCCTAGAATGGTTTAGAAAACCTGTGTGGCCTTCCCTGATGGTGTTCCAGAGAGAGCCAAGCCATCACCCGAGCAAATAAATACCTTGTCTTTTCTGTCCTCTTCATCCCATGTGTACAGGTTTGTTACTGGTTTGGTGGCTTACACTTGCTTGCAGAAGGCCATTGAGGCAACAGGGCAGGGATCAGATAGGTATATGGTGGATTACAAGCATCTTTCTTTTTCTATCTTCTAGGTCAAAATAAACAAAGAGGCTACTCAACGTGGGCTGGAGGACCCATCAAGGAAACTGTTTCAGGATGGCCCCTTGGTTCTTCAAAGAGCAAAAAAAATCCAGTTTTTGTGCTATTAAAAAAAAAAAAAAAAAAAGCTGATTGAACAGTGAGACAAAGAACAACGGACACCTTCAGCCCCTCTTTCTAACAGGTACTAAGGGAGATGCCCCAGACCCCCACCTTGGACCTCCTGCCTCCCAGCACCAGAGGGCCAGAGCAGAGGCGTTGGTGCCATCTTCTGGCTCTTCTCTACCCTGGCCACCACCATCATGGCCCATCAGGATTAAGACCTGAACTCAGCCCATTTGGTGGTTTCGGAGCCCCCTCCGCACTCCTGGCCACGTCGAGTCTCCTCAGTCAACACAATACTAAAAATACCAGGATGACCTTGCAGCAGAAGTCAATAGACAGCACGTTGTTTGTCCTGAAGGCTGTACAGTTCATACTTGCCTTAACCCAACTGCGTTGCACATCAGAGAAACTCCGTGCAAGCTTTCTGAAGTAACATGCTGCTGTTAATTCTGAACGATTTCTAAGTCAGTGGTTTTCTTCTGTTTGGTTTTGTTTTGTTTTCATGTCAGGGAATAAGGCTCTGTTGCTCCACAGCTCCAGAGCGACCAAGTAGAAAACTGCCAGCTGTCTGAGAAGTGCTTTACTTTTGAGGCTCCACAGTGGTCAAGAAACAAAGAGTTTATAATGATTAAGAAAAAGAAAAAAAGAAATGAGACCTTTTGGGGTCGGGGTGGGGAAAGGGGTAACATAAACTAATAATTTAACGTACTGGAAATAAGCAGCAGAAACAGTGCTTCTTAATCCTGCTGGTTTTATTTATCGCACTGTAGGTGCTTTTATAGCTATCTCTAAATGTCTTTTACTAACTACAGAGACATCTGCAGATTTCTATCAACAAAGGCCAACTGAATATGTACTAGATATGTTTACTCTTTTATATCTAATTTCAACTGAAAATTCTCTGTAAGTGAGCTTTTTTTTTCTAATTGCACCATAAGGGATCCATATATTTTATTTTTGTTTTCAGTTGGGGAGGGAGGGGAGGGCCTAGTTCAGTTGAGGAAATATTGGAGATCTTTTTGTGGTATATTTGGGGGATCTGTTGTGTGTTAGAACGTGTATTTTATCTTCCTGTATTATTGTGACTGAAAAAAAAAAAAACTGTGCTGTTACGTAGTTGGCAACAAGATGCCTTTGGGAATTTTACTAGTAGGTCAATGTGTATATGAAATACTCTGAACTCCTAGGAACATATGTTTTATTCTACATCTGATCTGTATTTTCAAGCACTTAGGTGGCTTTCATTAAGAAAAACCCAATAGTTTGCTCAGGCTTTTCAGAAACTTGGATTGTCATTGTTTCTTTGCTCAGACCTTGCATAGGCAAACGCACACACCTACCACACCTGAGGTGACCACGTAGCTTTTGAGGGCAAGAGGGAAGGTTAGCACTTGGAAAGGCTCGAGATGCCCTGAGCAACTCCCTTTTCCTTGCTGGCCAAACCCACGTGGCTCCCAAGCTCCCATGGCCTGTGCGCTCATGCCACTCATCCATCCCTGTACCAACCAGTGCCCTTTGCTGTGTCTGCATGGATGTACAGTGTCACAAGCAGCAACTCTGGACAATGACAGAGGAACAGGCATTCACCAGTGAAAACAAGATATGGGACATGTTCAGGAACTATACTTACATTTATTCAGTGAGATTTATATAGATATAGATAGATATATATATATGTAAGAGTGTGCGTGTGTGTGTGTGTGTATGTCTATGTATATAAAATACACTGGAATTGACAGGGGCTGCATAACATAGGAAGATTCTGCTGCAGGGGAGCAAGGGCTCCAGCCCCAGATACTGCTAGGGATTCCTGTGTGAATTAAGCACGTCCCCTAGGCTTGATCCCATAAAGCATTCATTGCTGATTTGAATCTTGAATTAAAATTTTTGGACTTGGGTTCCTGAAATTCTGAGTTCATTCTGGGTAGAACTGCTTTTCACCCCCTGGAAAATCATAGAGCTTCCAAGTGTCAGGATGAAATTTCCCGTAACTTGAAAAATTTTGCAAGTTTCTACTTTCATGTAGTATTAAATATAGAAGATGTATAGTATTAAACACAATGTGGAGGTTTAAATGGAATGAAAATGTCATAACAGGGTATTTTAGCTTTCCCTGTATAACAGTTAATCAAAATCATATTTCTATAAAAATCATTTTTTAGCATGAAAAGAATCCAGTTTAGGCACCTAAGCAGCAATCCAATTTTCAGAAGGTAATTTTTTGTACCATTCAGTGATTTCCCAAGGAATGGTAGATACTGGTAGTTAACAATTTTAGAAGTCAGACAATTTAATGAAGTGTCTACATGTAGCTTTTAGGCCTGATTTTAATTTAGAAAATTTTGGCCTTAATTTCTCTGTGTCTTAGTCTTCCCATCTATAAAACAGGAATAATATGTGCCTCACAGGCTTTTTGTGAGGTCTGAATTGTTAATGTTTGTAAAGTATTTCGGGAATAGGAAGCATATCTAACTAGTAAGGATTACAACATAAACGTCTATTCATATATGACATATAGAATAGATATACACACACTCACATACACACAGTATACATATATGTACACATACATAGCTATATGAAGTTGGTATTCATAACCCTGCTTAAGTTGCAGTTAGAACACCACCATTAAAAAGAAATTAAGTCTGTTGACTACTAAACTAAATGATTAGTGGACAGATCTCTTCTGGAAGCAGTTTAGAGCACAGTAATTTGAGAATATCTGGATGACATTTTTGATTTGTACAGCTGTATCCTCCTCAAAATCCAGTAAAGAATGTTATTTTTCTAGGCTGGGCTTTTGTTATAAACTTAAATATTCAGAAGGCAAGAGATACAATCCAAATGTGTCTTTTTTTCTTTTCTTTTCTTTTTGGCATTTGTTAATTCTGAATGTATTTTTAACAAAAGTGATTTTTTTGACTTACTAGTGTAATTTGCATTTAAAAAAAAAATAAATGGAAAAAATATAGGTTTCCAAGCTATTCATGGCCCCCTGTTGCTATTCATAACTTACAGGAAACTTAGAATTACTGTTTCCAGCTCAGCAACAATGCAGGATAAAGAACCCAGTTACATTTGCATGATGACAATCCCGATCTGTGCAGTGCACGGATGTGACAGCACTGAATAGAAATTGCCAGGTCATGACACCATTTTAACTCTGTTGTAGGTAACAGGTATTTTCATTATCACTGACACTAAAAGATTTCTTTTACAAGGCTGACTGCAATAGTCTCTTCACTTAGAAAATGGGGCTTTTTTGCCTACTCATCAGGAATTTTAAGCCTATGATAGGTTTACAGTTGCCAACGGTATTAAGTACTGCAAAAGTAATCCTTGTTAAGAAGGAGCTGTGTAACATGGATATTTCCACTGCATTAATATTCTTTTATATTCTGTTCATTGTCCCTACACTGAAATGATGAAATCCTTCTTAGGTAACATCTTTATAGAGCGCATATACATTGACAGCTTGCCTGAGGTCATTTTATAAAGGTGGAGCAGAACAGTATACGTTTCAAGATTCTCTGTCATGCTCTCCTAAATCTATTCCTTAGAAAGAGGGTTCATTAATTATTGTCATTAGGATTTTTGATGCCATTATTATAGTGCAAGTGATACTTTTCATTCAGGTAAGGAGAAACAGTTTATGATACACTTGCTTAATTTAAGTAGTGGTTGCAATAATCAACTGCCATACAGCATTTTGACAAAGGCTAGTGCTGTATGTATTGATCCCTGGATGTCTCCAGATAGAAGTGGCTATTAACTCAGTGTCTGAAGGTTCTGATCACTTGCACTCTCATCATGTTTGAGCACACTTGATAGCAGGCAAAGCAAAATTTCATACACCGTGAATCCTTCTAGCTTGTAATATTTTTGTTTCAGTCCTCTGTTTTATTTTTAAATACAATAGGATTTTTTCTCACAAAAAAATGGAAAGCCCAATGAATAATCTATGTGTATGTATTGCTTGCTTTCTTTCTATTGTACTGCTTGGTTTCTTTCTTTTTGAGACTCTTCAACATAGATGAGACAAAATTGATAGACTTTTTGAATTTGTTTTGTAGCTAAACTGAATCTGTCTTCTTCCCAGTGCATGTGGATTGGCGACATACACTAAAGGTGAGCCAAATTTATTGAAGAACTGATGCACAGAAATACTGCAGACAGCTCTGTGTCCACTGCTCCTTAGAGAAAAATGTAGACAGTTGTTATGCTAATCAGTCCACTCCAAGCTATGTGCAATATTAAATGTAATTACTATGCATAAAAGAAACTGCCCTTTAGACTGCAGTTATTCATTCACATATAGAAGTGGCACAGCACAGAATGAGTCAGTAAAAGATGTTTCCTTCCAGTAGTCACTAATACGATTCATCCCGAGCCATGGCTGGAGAAATCGGTTCCATTTGCTCTCATGTCCTGACAAGTCCCTCTGTTCAGACCTCCACCAAGAGGGACAATTGCAGCCACTCGGAGTTGTGACGTTTGCATAGCTGAGTGGGATAGTGTAGCATCATACATGCCTTTGTTGCACATCTCTCTCCAGATGTACAAAAGAAGGGTCTTTTAAAATGCTCTCTTCCTTTATCTCTCAGAAACTAACTTAAACAGATAATGTCTTTTAAAAGTGTTTTCCAAATCCTGCCAAGATCACTAAATAGTTTTTTTCAGCAGGTCCAAGCAAAACACCATCTTTTCTGCTCTCTGTTGAGTAGAAGACTTAGCTCTTGGGACTTCAAAATACCTTAAGATTATTATTTTGGATAGATAAGAGTGCTGTGAAATCTGAGAATTAAAAAAAAAAAAATGCTTGTGGTCATCTCTGATCCAAAATTAAATCTCCTGTACAAAAGCCAGACTTCTGCATTCACCAGTGGAAGAGGATCTTTGCTGCCATCTGTCACCTAACCACTTTCCTATCTTTGCCTTTGTCCTGCTGCGAATTTTTATGGAACTAAATGTGAAGAAGCATGTTCATATTCAACTTGTGCTCTTCAACAGTCTTCTGTTCTGCCACACAGAATGCTATTTCATACATATTTAATTTCTTTCTCCCTGTCACCATCTTCTTGTCCCATTCTCACTCTCTCCCTGTCTGAACACAACCCCAAATACCCTCCCAAAATTAAGTACTGCTCTTTGTCACATCAGTTGTTTCAAACTGTTCATATAATGACAGTGATCACAGTCATGGAGGATGGTGTCATGGTGGATATGTGCAAAACTGGAAGAAGAAGCATGAAGGTTATGTGCATCCTCCAAAGGCCCCAGACACAGGGAGACACTTAAGAGTATGATAAAGGTTGGCAGTGTTACAGAAGCTGTGAGGTAGAGTGGGCCCTGGTAGGAGTAATTTTCAAATGTGCAATTACATTTGCTAAAGCTATTCAGTGAGTACAGAGAGTCATAAATATCCAGAGTTACAAAAGGCACAGGTAAACTAGAGGAAAATTCATAGAAAATGTGTTTGTGAACACACTTGACTGCACCATATTCACATTTTAGTCTCTTCAAATTTGTCTCTTTTTTTTTTCTTTTCCTCTTCCAAACATTTGGATGGTTGTTTTTTTATGCACGCAAGTGAACTTTTTATTCCTAGAACAGGTAAGTATGTGCAATTGCATTAATTTACATGGGATTCTTAGTATTCACGCACCTATAGGCATTTGCTTATATGTTGGCTCATTTCTGTCATACATACATACACACATACATACCTGTTACGTGAGTATATTTCATGGTAGGGGCACAAAATCACACACAGAGTCTCTCCCCTTATCACCTTAGCTTTTCCTATCCCTCCTCTCAAAAGATTCAAAATCCCAAGTGTTTACTTTTCAGATGGGCATTCTGTATACAAAAATTACAATTTCTGCTACTTACTGGATGTACAAGCGTGGTACAATCTATGAACACAGTAAATAAGGCAGTCCTTTCTGCAAAGTTTATATGTGAAATAAAGTAAGTAAATGGACAACATATCAATTTAAAAAGAAAGAAGAAAAATATGATCTCCCAGTCCCACTCAGCTGTTAAATTTTGATAAATCAAAAAAAGTGGGTTCCAAAAAACTCCAGGAAAAGGAGAAGGGCAGGGAAAG